CTTATTTTATTATTGCAATTTCGTGAAAAATTGTGAAGTTGTTTAATTGAAGTATTCAAGTCTTCACGATTTTCAATTTTCAAGAAGTTGTTCGGCAATTCGGTAAACTCGTTCCAACTCTTGAGTATTAAGAATATATTTTTGTGTGTTTTAGTTTGCATAATTGTAATTAATATGGCATTTTCTTTGAAAAAAAATATTTGGTGGTAAGGGAAAAGCTAAAATTGGTGAAAGTAGTCCCCAACCTACTACCCTTCCCCGGCTCCCCGACCCAGACCTGTTACCCGTCCTGCTGCTCCTATTATTCTTGATAGTGATAACCCTTGTTTTCAATTTTTCGATAGTGAATTTTGCCATAATGTTGCACCAGGTCAACAATTAAATGAAGAAGTTATGAATGCTCTTTATCCTAATGAAATTATCTTAGAAAATGACGAGGAAAATGAGGATGTAGATGAAACCCAACCGGATTTAGATGATACACCTACTAGTCCTGTTAATAACCCAACTGATGCCCCGCCCGACCCACCAGTAGAAATCCCTACTTTTAATAGACAACCTTCTAAACGCCTAGAAACATCAATAGTTTGGAATTTTTTTACTCAAGTAAGAGAACAAAATAAGGCTAAGTGTAAAACTTGTGGGAAATTGCTGGCGCATAAATATACTTGAGACTGTAGCGGTACGGGTAGTTTGGCTAGGCACATACAAACACACCCTAGAGATAAAGTTAAATATTTACAAATGAAAGCACAGCAAGAGGGGACAAGTGTATATACTACGGTTAACCCTAGTACAGGTTCAAATCTAGTTCAACCAGGAATTAACACTGTGACCGGTGGTATTTTATATTACGATCCTAATAAAGATCGTGAACAATTAGCAAAGATGGTTACCGTTATGTGCTTACCCTATACTTTTCCTTCTAACCCTAATTTTGTGCATTATATTAGAAATTTTTTTAATCCTACTTATAAAGGTTGGCCTCGCGCAACAGTAAGAGCGATATTTATAAATATAAACATGAATATGAACAATATTTGCGGTATTTATTTACTCATATAACTAATCGAATTTCTATTACTACTGATATTGGTAGAAGTAATAATGACGTGATTATCTAACTGTTACAAGTCATTGATAGATGAGGAGTGGATAATGCAAAAACGCATTATTGCTTATAGAATAATTAATTCACGTCACACAGGTAAGTTTATTGCTAATGTTGCAGATATTTGTAGATATTTTTGCATTAGAGATAAAATAATGGCAATTTCTATGGATAATGCTTCTCTCAATCTCCAATTTTCAAGGCTTCAAGTCTCAATCTCAAATTTCAAGTTAAATCATGCCTCGTTCGGAAAGAGTGCGCTTATTTGTTTCGCAACACTTTGAAGTGCTTGAAGAAAATGAAGAAGGCCAAATATTAAAGTGCAAGAACTGTGGAAGAGTCTTAAATTTTCGTTCAGGGTGTACCACAGGCATTTTAAGGAGGCATATAAAGTATTGTCTTGAGCGTATTTATCCGGAAATTCGTCTTTAAGATTTTTCGACAATTTGTGTTATTTTAAAATTATTAGACGTATTTATGCTTAATGTTTTACTTTGTTATTAATTTGTTATGCATGATAATTTAGTTTTACTATTGTTTTGTTATTTTACTTTTTCTTCAAGCACTTTAATAATTAGGTTTCTATATTATATATACTATATATATTTATATAGCCATGTATAAGAGCAATTTATATTAGTATATACATATATGGTTTACAAGAAATTACCTTAAACAAAAAAAATTAAAAAAAAACAGTCCGAAAATAAAAAAGCCCGTTAGGCCCGTATGGGCCCACGAGCCCGACCCATTTAGCCCAGGACCATTTGGGCTTAGGCCCGTCATGGGCTGGTTCCACCCGTTGAGCCCATGAAGCTCGGGACCGTCAGAGCCCGGGACCGCTAAGCCCAGGCCCGTTTAGCCCGGCCCATTTAGCCCATTTAGTCCCGGGCCCGGCCCAGAATACAGCATTACCTCCAAACGATCCCTTATTTATATATATCTCAAACCTCATGTATATAAAAAACACAACAAAGTGGATAGGTCCGTACCATTTTTATTGTACTCCCTCCGTTTCAATTTACGTGAACATATTTACTTTTTAGTTCGTGCTAACAAGAATGACCCCTTTCCTTATTTGGAAATAATTTACTTTTATGCATTGATTTATAGCCTCATTTTATACACAAGTTCAAAAGTCTTGTTTCTTTTCTTAAATTCGATGCCAAGTCAAATGAGTTCCCATAAATTCAACGAGGGAGTATTCTTTGTTACTTCAAATTTTATAGGCCAAATACATATACAGCCCATTCAACTTGGCACCATTTTTTATTTTGGCACTTTATCTCAATATTGTTCCATTTTGGTCCTCCAACTCTATTTTATATGTTCTATTTTGGCCTTCCAACTTTATTTTTTGTGTTCTAATTTTTTGAAATCAGTGTAAAAAATATAGCGCGTGTGTTTACACAAATCTGAGGTGTAATAAATATCCAATTAAATATTGCCACCTGATTTTTTTCATCCATGTCAAACGGGTCAATACTAAAATACCTGAACCCTACCGTATTTGGGTAAAATTAAGTTCGCTCTTATTTACACAAGAAAATGACAACACAGAAAATGAAATCCGAAAATGGTTAACTTACTTTGCCAAATTTACACCTATAAAAGCGCCGACCTGGATTTCTTGGTGTCCATGATACTTTCAGTTCAACTTGAAATCCACAAGAACAATATTCATTCCATTATGAAAAAATAATTTTCTTTGAGACATGGATTCACTTCAAACTTCAAGCTTAGATGAAATAAACCCACACAAAAAAATCAGAATAAATAAACGAATATTAAAATTGCAAAAGTTTGAAATTTTCTGGATGGCCAGGTACGAAATCGGCACATGAAAGTTTTGGAACTTTGAGAATGAAGATGGAGCAATAGTGGATGAAATAAAACGGGTCGGGTTCGGGTATTTTAGTATTGTCCCGTTTGATATGGATGAAAAACCAGGTGACAACATTTAATTGGATATTTATTACACCTCAGATTTGAATATACACACACGCTATATTTTTTGCATTGATTTCAGCTTTTGTGTTAAAGTAAAACATAAGAAATAGAGTTGGATGACCAAAATGAAACATATAAAATAGTGTTGGAGGGCCAAAATGGAACAAGGTTGAGATAGAATGCCAAATGAAAAATGAGGCCAAGTTTAATGGGTTATATATGTATTTGGCCAATTTTATACAAATATGCATTATAAAAAGGAATTTTTACATTCCTATGCCACATAGGAAACCTTATTACATTCAATGTTTAAGGTTTGACTTAATTACACTTAGTATACCAAATTACCAATTCTATACCATAGTGTATTTTAAGGGTACAATTAATGCAGCGTATATCCCTCCTTAATTCAAGGTACCGTATATCCCACCCCTCCCACGTTTCTCTCTCCCAAACCCTCACCCCCACCCACGTTTTAGTGAGGGATTTCTTTTCTTCATGCCCTCTTTTTTCAAAATCAGCAGAAGTCATAAAAGAGTCGTCAAAATCAGGAACAGATAGGCTAAAGGGGTCGTTTTGTTTGTTAAGGTCCGAAAAGGGTTGAACTTTTTTATCTTCTTCAACCTTTTCACCTGTGGGATACACCATGTTCAAGTAACGAAATTTGGGTTTTCAAAATCTTTGACATGGTTGCTGTAATAGGAAAGATACTGACTTTATAAACGTATCCAAAGAGTGATGTGCGGATTTTGTTGAGCAAGCGAAAGCATCTTAAACCCTAGGGTTTAACAGAATAATTTAGAAGGCCTAAAAATAAATTCGAAATGAGATTTTAGTCGTTTTGGATTTGTGAAAACAGAAAACAATGCATCTACAATCAGAATACAAATAATCTATAATTCATCTACAAAATATCTACAAATTGGGTATATTGAATTTTAATATCCCAATTCCCATTCGATTGTAGTTTAATTGGGATTTTCGACATAATTGCGTTTTTTGCAGAAGATTTGTAGAAGTTTTAGTCGTTTTTGATTTGTGAAAACAGAAAACAAAGCATCTACAAGTAGAATACAAATAATCTATAATTTATCTACAAAATATCTACAAACTGGGTACATTGAATTTTTATATCCCAATTCTCATGCAATTGTAGCATAATTGTGATTTTTGACATAATTGCGTTTTTTCAGAAGATTTGTAGAAGTTTTAGCCGTTTTTTATTTGTGAAAACAGAAAATAAAGCATCTACAATCAGAATACAAATAATCTACAATTTATCTACAATTTCTGCAATATGTCTTATTCTTCTTCTTTTTCGAGTTTCAATCTGAAATTCAGTCAAAACCAAGTCTAATCTTCACCAAAACCCCTCAAAATTGAGATATAAACTCCAAACCATATTCCCGATTATTTTCAACAACACCCAATCCAAACAAATAATGATTTTTGAAAACCCAAATTTGAATTCAAAGCTTTCAAGTTTTTTAATGGCTGTCAATGATGGAAAATATCTGGAAGAATATTTACTTCCATAATTGTAGCGCGCCTAAATAGGAATATCTGGAAGAATATTTAGTTCCAGATTTGTAGCGCGCCTAATTAGGAAGGAATCAACTCCTAATAATTGGTATTTAATGAATGATATATATTTTGTAGAATAAATGTGAACATGGCGGATAAATATGAAACTATGCATATTTTTAGTAATAAGGTTTCATATATGGGGTAGCAAATGTTAGTACTATATTTAACCTGCAACAATGGACATAACAGGAGACCTTACTATTAAGATGAAACTTCGCTGTGGGTTTCATAAAAATAGTAAAAAGAAGAATCATTGAGACTTGTGACAATATTAATTACCCTACTTGTTAACTATATTTCAAAATACATTATTTTAGTCATCATTCAATTCAAATGTGATTCTTATTTAATTCAAATTGAGGTGAAGTGAGGTGAGTGAGTGAGACTGTGACTACTCAAAAGTGTCAGAGTGGATTTCAATTTTTGAGCCTTTGGCTTTCTCAATTCTTCTTTACTGTCTGCACCTTTGCTTAGTTACTATCATTCATTAATCACCGAACAAAATTTTAAGGCTTCTCTAGTTTCTTGTCCTCTTCCTCCTATTTGCCTCAACCTGTTTTAGTCCTCACTTCTTTTCTTGCCAAACTCTTCTTCTTCAGCTTCTAGTTGGATTTTTTTGGGGGTTTCTTCAATTTTTGAAAAGTTCTAATCTTTTGTCATTTGGAAGGATTTTGTGGGGGTCATCTTCTTGAGAGTATTGGCTAAAAAGGGGCATTTTCAAAGGAATAATGTCAGCCAAGATTAAAAAAATTTCTTAACTACCTTTTTAGGATTCATGGAGGTAGAAAAAGATGGTGTCTTTGGAAAAAGATTAGTTCTTTTAGAAATTTATCCGACTATAAATAGAGGAAAAGATACTGCCTTTGGAAAAAAGATCAGTTCTTTTTAGGATTTTGAAGCCTGAAATTCTTAGTAAAATAAAATTAGTACTTCTTTTAGAAAGTTATCTGACAACAAAAAGGAGGAAAAAGATATAGTTTTGAGGGTATTAAAGCTTTGAAATTGTTGTAAATGGGGGAGAAGAAGAATATGCCAGCAGTATGGTTTTCATTGAAGAGGTCTTTGCATTGTAAATCAGAGCCATCAGATGTTCATGACCCAAAAACAAAGAAACAATTAAGCACAATTTTGACTAGAAAAGGAGGAGGAGGAGGGTCAAGGTCAGGTTGTTCAAGGTCTATAGCAAATCTCAAAGATGTAATCCATGGAAGCAAAAGACACATAGAAAAACCACCAAGTTGTAGTCCAAGATCTATTGGTAGCAGTGAGTTTCTTAATCCAATAACTCATGAAGTTATTCTGAGTAATTCAAGGTGTGAGTTGAAAATCACTAGTTTTAATGGCTTTCAAGAAAGTAGTCCTAGCTCAACTTTTGTGGGTACTTTGAGACCTGGTACACCTGGTCCAGGAGGGAACCCTACAATGCATTATTTTAATTCAGGTTGTAGGAATTCAGTGGCAACTCCTACAAGGAGAAGTGCATCTTTTCTTGTTGATAAAGAAGGTAGTTTTCCTTGTAAAACTACAAGGCATTCTCTTGATAATGATGTTAATGGAACTTCTTCAGGGGTCACATGTCATAAGTGTGGAGAACAATTTGGAAAATGGGAAGCTCTTGAATCACATCATCTTTCTAAGCATGCTGGTAAAAATCTTGCCTTTTTTTGCTTTTTCATCATTCCTTATTATTATCCTATCTCCATGCTTTTTTCTGTTTCTTGCTTATGCTGTACATTTTTTCCTTTTTAATTCTATTTGTCTGAAAAAAAGTACTTGGTACATCTTTTAATAAGTCTCGTGTGGTTGCTTTACTTTCTCTTCTTTCTTTTTTCCCTTTTCTCTCTCTCTCTCTCTCTCTCTCTCTCTCTCTCTCTCTCACTGTGTGTGTGTGTGTGTGTAGCCTACATCACAAGATTGTACATTTGCAGCTTCAAAGCCCATTTTGCTATATATTTTTAGAGCTAGACACATTGCCCTTTTTCAGTCAATTTGTTTGAATACTTCACTATGGTATCAGAAATTTCTGCTGAAATTATTTAGCAGTTGATGGATTGGTGGTGGTTGGGGGGGGGGGGTTCGGAATTTTAACCGTAAAATTTCATGTGCATTATTCTGTAGATATCTATGGCTAGACTGCACTGCTGGATTAAAGTAGAATTTTGCTTCGACGTTGTCTGTCAATTTATCATGAATCTCCACAATACATAATACATTGGGACGTGCTCGCCTAGGCACACATTACATTGACCCCGACTTGTTTGGGCTTGAGGCATAGTAGTAGTTTTTATTGTATTCATTTTCTGTACTTGTTGGTTTAATGGTTTTGAAGAGCTTCTAAGCTTGTTGCATTTTGCTCAATTGGGCAGTGAGTGAACTTTTGGAGGGTGATTCTTCGAGGAAGATTGTTGAAATAATCTGTCGCTCAAGCTGGTTAAAATCAGAGAGCCACGTTGGTCGGATTGAAAGGGTCTTGAAAGTTCACAACACACAAAAAACTCTGGCTCGCTTTGAAGAATATAGGGAGATGGTGAAGATCAAAGCAAGTAAGCTCCCTAAGAAACATCCTCGGTGTATAGCTGATGGAAATGAACTTTTAAGGTTCTATGGAACTACTTTGGCATGTGGCGTTGGCATGAATGGAACCTGCAGTCTCTGTGTATCCGATAAATGCTGCGTCTGTCGAATTATCAGAAACGGATTCACCACGAGGAAGGAACTCAAAGGCGGGATTGGTGTCTTCACGACTTCCACAAGTGCAAGAGCTTATGAATGTATTGAGTTGAGTGAAGATGATCCATCGTTAAGAAAAGCATTGATCGTCTGCAGAGTAGTTGCAGGTCGAGTGCATAGGCCGTTGGAGAACATTCAAGAAATGGCTGGCCAAACGGGGTTTGATTCTTTGGCTGGGAAGGTTGGCGTTTACTCAAACATAGAGGAGCTTTACTTGCTTAATCCTAGGGCTCTTCTTCCTTGCTTTGTGGTGATTTGCAAAGCCTAAGGAAAATATAAGACGACATGGTAGTGAAATTTTGTGTCGCGTATAGGCTTTTCAACATGTTCTTTTGCAGGAACTTTGTTTCTTGGAGTCCAAATTCTTGTTTCTTGCCATTTCTGTATCTGTTATTACCAAAATTTGTCAAAGCTAGATGATCCAAACTCTTTCTCTGTCTCTGCTGAATGTTGGTTGAGTTCATTACATGCATAGGGTAACAGAATGCAGTTCTTTGCACATACTATAATATGGACAACTATAGTTTTGGGACCATTTCTCAGCTTTTAGAAATGAGTCTCTGATGACAAATCTGAGCAGTTTTGGACTAGATTCTTGTGACTGCAATTCAAATGGTTGCAAAGGCTAGAGAGATTTAAAGTTTGCTCAACCACTGCAGTTTACTTCTCAACTAGTAAAACAACCATAGCGGTTTCGGCACGTCAATTTCAAGCAAGTTAGGGTCGGCTAGAAGAATTTTCTGTCGATAAAAAGACCAATAAATTGTTCATTTTGATTGGGTTTGAAATGATTTTCACTTGGGATGGTCATATTAAAGTTTGAGTATGGGTAATTATCTTCAACAAAGTGATAAATAGAATTGTACAATTGCAGCAACCAAACAATTTAGGCATGTGGTCCTAGTTGCTACATACTGTCATGCTTAAAAGAAGCTTTAATCTAAAAACTAAAAGACAGAATGAAGAAGATAAATAAGTCACTGTCTTGTTCCCTTTTGCATGCGAGAAACTATTCATATTATGTGATCTTCTTTTCCCTATTCTTGCAAATTAAATTTTATAATTTGAACCTACTGGTGCCAAAAGAAAAGAAATAGATTCATAGTTAAGTTTAGGGAGCCTGCCTTTTCGTCTTGCTTCCTTTTAGTTTTTTTTTTCTACAAAAGAACGACACCTTGTATTTGAAAATTCCTTTTGATTTTAAATATTATATAGTGCTCTTATATCCATGTAAATGTCATGACATATTAAATATCATAAAATTCTAAAAATCCTTCTGATATATGTCAATAATTCCTTTTTTTTGTTCTCTTCGTGTTCAATCAAACACCACTACAGTCAAACCTCTTTATAACAGTCTCGTTTGTTCCGAAATTTTTTGGCTGCTATAGAGAAGTGTTGTTATAGAGGAGATATATTATAACATAATATAATATTCGATTCCGGAAAAACTCGACTTTTATAAGGAATGACTATTATATAGGAATGTTATAGACTGGTTTGACTGTGTATAAAATGCAAAGTTATTGATCGTTTTTGAAAATCCGAATTGCACCTACATATTATATTAGCGTTGAGTTAATCATTTGGTTGCTGGTTTGGTTGTGAATAGCTCCTAATAAATGTTGCATGGCTATGCCAACTCACAAGTATGCATTTTATTTTGATAGCAAAGACTTTCTGGATTGGGAAAAGTTTAATTCAATAACCGAAGATGTTTGGTTCATTTGGCATTCATAAATGCTGATTTAGACAGTTTTTTTTTTTGGTCTGCTTCAGCTGCCATTCTTTCTGATGTTAGTTTTAATGACTATCGGTTCATCATTTTTTTTTTTTTTTAAATTTTTTATGTCTCATTTATCTAAATAGGAATAAGGGTAGTTTATATATGGGGTAAAAAAAATCGCAGCTGATTGAGAAGGACCACTCAGAGCTAGGAGTAGGAACCCATTTACGAAAGGGTATAATTTCTACATATTATTATCAGTATAAAAGAATTTTTATACTAACATGTCTTTCTAAAGTTAATTAAAGGTACATGCATATATACTCATAAATAGTGCAATGAATCACTTGACAAATAAGTTAATTAACCGTCTAAAGCAAATTAAATTAAATTAAATTAACCGTGTGAATATATCCATACTCCACTGTCTAAATTTATGTAACGCTATTTGATTCGGCACGAAGTTGTCTTTTAAAAAAAAAAAAAACTCTTGAAACTTGTGATCTAAAAAAATTCATAAATATTTATATAAATATTTGTGTTGATAATTTGTGGGGTTGTAGGAATTCTAAAAATAAATTATTTCTAAATAAGGAAAGATAACATTCATTTTGGAAAGAAGTGACTAAGGGCATCTCGAGCCCTTCCCCATTTCTCCATAATGGAGCATTTTTTTTTTGCCAAAATGCATCTCCAACCCACCCTCATTTTTGCCTCCAAAATGGGGATGAATAGTGTTACTCCACCTATGGAGTGACACTATTCATGTCCTCCATTACTATTCACGCTTATTTTATTATAATTTTTATTATTTATCTCTTTATATATACCTAATTATGTTTATATAATATTTTTATAATATTAATTTTACATCTTAATTTTGACGTATAGTTTTGATAAATTAATTTTCTTGCATTTATTATTTTTATGTAAAATTATAAGTTATAATTTTACATGAAAATCATATAATCATCTCAAAAAAATGAATGGTGCAAATATAAAATATTAGATGTTGCTAAAATTGAAAGGTGCGAATATAAAATATTCGATGTTGACTAAAATTAGAAAAGTAGAAAATTGAAAATACATTAAAT